TTCTATCCCTTGTTTCTTGTCCTGCCTTCTGATGTTTTGGAGAATAAGTTGACCCGTCCCCCTCTTTGTGGCAGCCTCTCAAATATTGGAACGCTGTTACGTATTTATGACAGTTGCGACGTCCCAGGGTCACATGATTCCCTTCTGCGACCTTCTGACAAGCATAGCCAAGGAGGAAACCCGGATTCACTTAACAACCGTGTTACTAATTGAACAGCTGCAGCGATTCCCTTAACCATGGTGGCCACCGAGGTCGCAACATGGAGCACAAACTCACTTAACAACCGTCTCTCTTAGCAATGGAAATGTGGGGCTCAATTGTGGTCATAAAACGAGGACCACCTGTGTTTGGAGGGGAATCCTTTGATTGCAAGCAGCAAAGTTTTCCTCTTAGCGTTCCGGAAACTTGCTGAGTGGGCCTGTTTTCCTTCACCCAGCGAATCTTTGCAAGGCTCCAGGGGTGGGATTCAGCTGATTCAGATCGGTTCAGGCGAACCGGTTGTTATGATTTTGCGCAGTTCGGAGAACTGGTAAAATCGAACACTGGCTAGCCACGCCCACCCCACCCTGTATATTATCTTCTCTTCACCACACGGTCCAGCTAATCTCCGTGCCTCACCTGTTCTGCTCACCAAAGGTAAGCATGCCGTCGGCTCGCCCTTCGCCTCAGGATGGGGCCCAGGGACACGCTATTCCCCGGCTCCGGCCTTGCTCTAGAGCCTCCGCCCGTTTGCTGACCGCCTCTGCCAGGTCGAAGAATGTGCCATTCAGTGGTGAAATTCAAATTTTCTTCTGCCGGTTCTGTGGGCGTGGCTTGGTGGGCAGGGGAAGGATACTGCAAAATCTCCATTCCCACCACACTCTGGGGCCAGCCAGAGGTGGCATTTGCCGGTTCTCCAAACTACTCAAAATTTCCGCTACCGATTCTCCAGAACTTGTCAGAACCTGCTGGATTTCACCCCTGGCGCCATTCCCTGGCTCCGGCCTTGCCCCGGGCTTCCCCCTGCTTGCCACCCGCCTTGGCCAGGTTGGGGAATGCGCCATCCAGTCTTCTAACGGGCTTCCCCTGGTCTTTTATCTTTAAACTTTAAACTGCCAAAAATGAAGGTGCTGCTTTCCTTCCGGCAGTTTAAAGTTTGATCTCGATACGGGAAAAAATGAGGATTCTCCCGATCCTGAGGGGATCCATCTTTGTATGAAGCGACTGACTCTGGAAAGGCGATGGAACAAGCGTAAAGCCTCCCCCCCCCCCCCCCCCGGCTACGCATTGATAAAACGCCTCACCGAAAGAGTCTTACTGGAAGTGGCGCATCAGGCTTTGATGCCTCTTGTGAGGCGGCTGTTCTCAGGCAGCTAATTCTGAAAGAGAAATCCTAAGGATTCTAAGGAGCTCCCACAATTGACCAAACATCGCAATGAAAGAGGTTTTTGATGCAACTTATGATTGTACGTAAGATTTGAGACCTCTCCCTTCCTCCCTCTCTTCATTTCTTTCTTCCATCTCTTCCTTCTTCTTGCCCTTTCCTCTCTTTTTCTCTCTCCTTCCTTCCCTCCTTTCCTTCCTCTCTTCATTTCTTTCTTCCCCTTCTCATTCCTCCCTCCCTTTTTCTTTTCCCTCTCCTTGCTTCCTTCCCTCCCTTCCTTTTTTCTCCTCCCTTCCTTCCATCCCTTTATTTCTTTCTTTCCTCTCTCCTTTCTTCCCTTTCTTTTCTCTCTCCTTCCCTCCCTCCTTCTCTCCCTTCCTTTCTCCCTTTTTGTTCCCTCTCTGCTTCCTCCATACCTCACTTTCTTTTCTCTCCTTCCTTCCATCCCCCTTCCTTTCTTCTCTCTCTGATTCTCCCTCCCTTTCTTTCTCTCCTTCCTTCCCTCGTTCCCTCCCTTCATTTTTCTCCCCCCTCCTGCTTCCCTCCCTTTCTTTTCTCTCTCCTTCCCTTCCTCCTTTTCTTTCTTCATTTCTTTCTTCCCCCTCTTCCTCCATCCCTTTCTTTTCTCTTTCTCTCCTTTCTTCCTTCCTCTCTTCCCTTCCCTCCCTTTTCTCCTTCATTTCTTTCTTCCCTGCTTCCTCCTTCCCTCCCTTTCTTTTCCCTCTCCTTCCTTCCTTCCTTCCTTCCTTCCCTTCCTATTTTCTATTTTCTATTCTATTCTGCATCCTTTCTATTCTATTTTATTCTCTTTTATTTTCTATTCTATTTTCTATTTTTTATTCTGTTCTATTCTGCATTCTTTCTACTCTATTTTCTATTTTCTATTCTATTCTATTCTATTCTATTCTATTCTATTCTATTCTATTCTATTTTCTATTCCACTTTCTATTTTCTAAAAGTTGGAGCCAGTTTGGTGTAGTGGTTTAGGTGAAGCAGTGGTGGGATTCAGCCAGTTCGCACCACTTCGGGAGAACCGGTTGTTAACTTTCTGGGCAGTTTGGTGAACTGGTCGTTGGAAGAAATCATTAGGGCAGAGAACCGGTTGTTAAATTATTTGAATCCCACCACGGAGGTGCAGGCCTAGAAATCAGGAGACGCTGAGTTCTAGTCCCACCTTAGGCATGAAAGCTGATTGGATCACTTTGGGCCAATGACCGGGAGACAATGAGTTCTAGTCCCGCCTTAGGCATGAAAGCTGAT